AATCAGTATTCCACAGTTTGGCAGAAAAATACTTTATCATTCTGACACTGTTGGCAATCAGCAAATAAAATTACAATACTAACAGTATATTTCTGACCTTTGTTTTTTACATAGAAGGGATGGTCCAATCTGCACTCTGCAATTAATTTGCCAATTTGCGACTTGCCAGGGTCAAAGGTTAATTTCAGTACTGAACGTCCAAAGGAAACAGTTTCCGTATGAGCCACTAACTTTAGCCCTTCAGATCCAAATCTATATTTCTGTGGAGCAAAACAATTATTTTAACATTTCATTTAGCCTACACAAGACAGTTCACGAAAGAAACATCTCCATTTCTGAACAGTCTTCCCTCTGTGACAGTGTTTATTTATTCTTTAATACAATTCCAGGCTTAAGATCTTCCCAATTTATGTGACTCAGTACAAAAGGGTTCATATACTCAATGAATTTCTGTATAAGCCTAAATAAATGTTGGTTGGTGGGGTGATTTCTTTACAAAAAAAAACTTTAGTGCACAGGAGATATGTGTTGCAAAATGTACCTTAGAAATATTAGATGCAATTTAGTGTGCACATAATGGGAAACAATGTACATAACTTCTACACAGAATATCTTAACACTTTGAGAAACTGACATGATTAGTCATAAGGTGTTTGTCACTGAAGATGTGGAAGTTAAGAATGTGTTAGGGGCAGTTTTTTGTGCTAGTTTCTAACCTTGAGGAAGTGGAAAGTTAAAATTATTAAGTTGTTTTGGATCATCTTTTTCCATTCCACTCTCACTATCATACAAGGCTGTCTAGTGTACAAATTATTTCAAAAATATTTTCATATTTATTTGAGAAAGTTAAAAATGAGTTTGAATCATACAGTAAAACTTGTGTCATGCTAGCACTTTTGCAGTACACACTGAATACAACTACAGATGAAAAAATCCCTCAGGTCTAACTAACCCTTTCCAAATATAGGTTCAGACTAACATGGCCAGGTTATTGGAACAAACAGAACATATACAAGAAATCTATTTGAATGTATGGTTAAAACACAAAGAAACACAATGCATAGGAAACATTTGAGTCTGGGTTTGCACTGTGATGAAACAGTGAATGAAAGACTCCCATTTATCAACAGTCCTTGCAATTTACTTGAAGAAAGCCTTGCTGAGAGATTTAGCAATCTCTGTGGTAAGAACTTTACTTCCTGTAATTGAAGAATGCTGCAACTCATTGCACAATGTGGATTCCCAAGGTGCAGCAATATTGTCACCAAGTTGTCTAAGTAACCAATTACATTAAAGAATTTGTACAGTCTGCCAACCAGACTAAAAGCAAAACACTTTAAAAAGAATGAAGTAGATGTTGAACCGAGAAGCCTAAAGTGAAGGTAGAAGCCTAAACATTGTGAAAACACTCAAAATTATTATAAGTTATAAAAAAAAAATCTTGCGACTAATTTTAATGGTGACATTTAATAACACTCCACAAACATGAATGTACATTTTTCAGGTGTCGTTCAACAGACATTACCCAGATTATCCTTGAAGATCCAGTTATACCTGACTGCATGAGGCTCAAATTTTTCATGGAGTTTTCAGTGGTGTTGTATGAATGGCAAAGGGATTGCTAGCTCCACTGGTGTCTACAGATGGCCTGCAGCAATGCAGTAAGTGACAGCTCACAATTTTAGGATTTCTGGGTCAATCTGTGCTATGCTATATTCTGAACCCTGACATTTGACCAAAGTCTTCAGTAAAATTATGGCCATATTCACAGAAATTAGTTAGTAAATCTCCATCGGAACTGTTCACATTAGGCAAGAATAATTTATCCTGTAATCACCAAAGCAGTATACGATGCAACACAGAACTAAAGAGAAATTGTGGATTTCATGCTCTTTGAAGATAATAAGATAAAATGACTATGTTCTGTAGATACAAGGAAAAAGTTTTTCTGCAGATGTTCATGCCAATTAGATGGCAGGATTTTTAGCACAGCAGGTTGACTCTGATCAAGGCACTGCAATGACAAATAAGCTAGAGATGACTGTAGTCTATTTTGTTGTGTGGAAACAGTCATAGTAAATAGATAGACGTGTACGGATTGCACATGTTTAAATGCAACTTGCCATTCTCTGGCTTGTTTTGTAATTCAATGAGTAGAATCAACCTGCCTTGTTTAAAATTAAACTAAGTTTGGTAGCTGTCATTTATTATGAACTGGTGTGTTCCCTATGACAATGCCTCTACCAGTTACAGCCTTCAAAACTACAATCAGCACCCTCCTTTCAGTGTGAAATGTTGTCTTCCCTTTTCTTTGGTCATTCTTGGAAACTGTCCCAAGTGCAAGATGAAAAGCTTCAACAAAATATCATTTTTTCAGAAATACTCAGAATCTGTTTACTTGATCCTCATTATGTGTGGATCTGCAGGCCTATCTTTAGCCTCTCCATCGACAGGTCCTGATGGATTACACCATACTTCCAGTTCCATCGGCACCGATAAGGGATTCCCATTCTAGCACGAATATTGCTATCCACAGCAGGAGATCCATGCCACAATCCCACACAGATAGTAAGGATGAAGTAGCAGATAATAAGTACTACCAACCAGCTACTATTATAAGGTGTTTAAACCTATCTACATTTTGACAATGATTCATATTGAGTGCACATCACAGGACTTCTGAAGTCTGGATTCCCTATGATAGCATGCTAGTTAGCAGGCTAGAATTTTAAAGGTTTTCCTCAATTAAATTTGTAGACGATCCACATCAAAAAAGTGATCAAAAGTGGTGCATTCATCCCCTCTGCCAGCACTTTTGTTAAAATTGACAATTGGTGTCAAAAACACATTATAATACAGTCAGTCCATATATCATGTGAGTATGGACATAATGAAACAAAATTGTAAACATCAACCTTTCAACTCAAATTGTTGTTTGAGATTTTGCTCTCCTTTGAAACAGGTAAATTTCTGTCTCACCACAAGACCTTATTTTAGTCCTGGAAATCCTGTTTCAAAATTATTTATACATTCTCATATGAATAAACTCAATGCACATGACTTTTACTCCAGTTTTAGTTTTTCTTAAGCTAAAGAAACAATTTTGCTTCCACACTGAAAAAAGACTTCACGAGCACACTTTTACAAAAAAAAAAGCATTCAACCATTAAAACAAAAAGATGCATTAAGATGCCTTAAGAACTGAATTTCTAAGGCTGGAAAGTTTAATTTAAATGGATTCTGCTTCTTCCTAATCATCCAAGGTATTAAGATAGTCAAAACCACACCAAAGACTAATAATTGGAATTTAAATTATAATACACTAATTATATTTTTCCATTAAAATATTACATATTTAGGCATGTGTAACCAGCGCACAATTTTTTTTTTTCTCCTTGTCATTTTGATTCTGTGCGCAGCTTGACCTGGTGTAAAACAGTTATGTTAGGTTATCAAGCTAATCAGTGCAATTTAAGATGACAAAACGTATGAATCCTGCTTCGGTTTTAAAGTACGGATTTCCACATGGCATTTATGTTATGAGCACATCAAGCAATTATTGCCTTTCTCGGTCAATATAGAACAGGTAAAAGTTTGTACATCAAAGCAGTATTTATTTCCTTGAATGAAGAACTAAAACTGGGTATAGATTAACAGCGATTGAGTCACTAGTTTTCTAATATTGAAAAGAATCACTACACACCAAGATATATACCTTCACAAAACCTTTTTGATCAAGGACATTTTAAAAATAAAATACCAATGCTGTAATAATGCTCCAGTAAAATATGAATAAATATTTCACATTTTTTATTAATAGTTCTACTGAGATGTTGTAAATCTATTCCATCAAGTTTACAGAAATTAATCTAGAAGTCAAGACAAATAAAGTGACCACCTTTTGTGAATGGTTCTTCAAGCCTTTTTCATCTTCAGAGTTAATTTCCAGTTTTGCAAATTCTTCAACATCCTGCCAATCTTTAACATCACCCTTCTGGAAGCGCAGACGTGTCCCTATAAAAACAAAAAACAGTAGGCTACAGATAAGTAGAAATTCTGGAATATACATTTTATATCAATTGTAATTTGTATAAAATACCTGTAGCTGCCAAAATTAAATGCCATTCTCACATTCATTACTACCAGTCCAGCTTAGGTTACCACAAAGGATGCTTTCTACACCTTGTTATGTCTTCGTCTCAACCACTCCCTTGAGATTAAACCACCACTAGTCATCTCTCTCTCATTTTAATGAGAGAGCAGCCCTTTGGCAACTTTACCTTTATCCCACCAATCACAAGTATTTCCATTCATGACTACAAAAGTATTAACTTTAGTAAGTCATTACAAACTCAGCTTTACCTTTCATGAAACAGTTCCATGCAGTTTGTGGCCATGAGTGGGACCATCCAAGCTCATCATCATCAGATAGAGAAGACATACAGAAGATGTCGGACTCTGATTCACTGTTTGCCTGATGTAAAATAAGGAGAAAGGTATTTTCTTACACTAACTCCACAATGGTAACATTAAAAAAAAAACCAACGCATATACTGATATCCTGACACTTTCCCCTTCAATTGATCTGCAGGGTCTTTTAGATACTGGGTGAAGTCAATCTTCAATTCAAATGAGGAAGCCTCTCAGATGGCACAATGCAAATGCCTTAAGAATCACAATTTCTAGGGTTAATAATTAGCATATTGTAATATTTATATTATCATATTACTACTTCTTTCCCCACAGATTAGACAATAATGTGTTTATACATCAAGTACCAAAGGCCGTGTTGCTTGCCTGGGTTCAGGAGCTCTCATCTGGGCTGCAGAGGTACTTGGTGTGAGAGGAGAAAGATCTAGATGTCATGGTACACATAGATACCAATGATATAGGTAGAAGGAGGTTCTGCTGATGGAATAGGATTAGGTATGGGTTAAATTAAAGAAACAAAACCAAAAAAGTAATAATCTCTGGAGTACTACCTGGCCATGAGCAAAGATTAAACAGGCTGAAAGACTGATGTGGGAGAAATGGATTTGAATTCATGGGACACTGGCATCAGTACTGGGGAAGGAGGGAGCTGTTCTGATGGGACCAGAGTCCTGGTGAATCGCATAACTGGGGCTGTGAATAGGGCTTTAAACTAAACAATGGAGGAATGCTTTCAGCTGCATGGAAATTTTACAGGGGAAGAGCTCAGAGATTAAAGGTTCCAGAACAAGTAATAGGACAGAGTATGGAAAAGGTCAGGAATCTAACTTCAGGCACAGCAGATAAGGGGACAACTACGAGAAAGGGGGCAGTCAATATAGTACTGAGAGGGTTTTACTTAAAAAGTGTGCAACATACGAAACAAGGTGAACGAGCAGATTGTGCAGACTGAAACCGATGTGAACTATGTTGCAGGTATCACAGAAACATGGCTGCAAGGGAATCAGGGCTGGGAACTAAATATCCAAGGATACATGTTCTATCGAAAGGACAGGCAGTTGAGCAGAGGGGGAAGGACTGCCTTGTTAGTGAAAAAACAAAATTGATAGCAAAAAGTGATATAGAATTAGAAGGCATAGAATCTGTGTGGGTAGAGTGGAGGAACTGCCAAATAAAAAAAAAAAAAAAAATTGTCCTATTGGGAGTTGTGCACATGCCTCCTAGCAGTAGTCAGGATGTGGGGCTGAAAATAAATCAGGAGATAGAAAGGGCACGCAAGAAAGGCACTACTTCAAAAAATCATGTGGCTCTTCAAAATACAGGTGGACTGGGAAAATCAGGTTGGCAGCAGATCTCAAGGAAAGGAATTTGTCCACGAGATGGTTTTGTTTTGGAGCAGAATTTTTTCTATATTTTCAATTTAACAACATGTAATGAGGCAGACTTGATTAGGGGGCTTAAGGTGAAGGAACCCCAAGGGACCACTGACGATAATGAGAGAATTAATCCTGCAGGTTGGGAGAAAGATGATTAAATCAGGTGTAATGGTATTACAATTGACTAAATGTAACTACAAAGACATGAGGCAGGAGTGGCCACAGTTGATTAGAAGGGCAACCTAGCAAAGAAGACGGTGGAGCAGCAATGGCAGACGTTTCTAGGAGTAATTCAGGAGGCACTGCAGAAATTCATCCCAAGGAAGAAAAAACATGCTAAGGGGATGATGAGGCAACCATGGCTGACAAGGGAAGTCAGAGACAGCATAAAAGTAAAAGTGTACAATATGGGCAAGATTAGTGGGAAGCCAGATGATTGGAAAGCCTTTAAAAATCAGCAGAGGATAACTTAAAAAAAAAGCAATAAAAAGGTGGGAGAGAAGATGAAATGAGAGTAAGTTAGTTAGCAATATTAAAGAGGATTGCTAGAACTGAATTTTTTTTAGATATCTTAGAAGGTACGAGAGAGAACAGTGGATGTTAGATGGCTGGAAATGAGGCTGGAGAAGTAGTAATAGGCAATAAAGAAATGGCAGAAGAACTAAATAGATTCTTGGCATCAATTTTCACAGTGGAAGACACCAGCAACATCCCAGAACTTACAGTCAGAGAGTAAAGGTGACTATAGTGGACATCACTAAGGAGAAGTTGCTAGAGAAGCTGAAAAGGTATGAAAGTGGAAAAGAAAAATCAACCACATCAAAGGGACTACACCCCAGAGTTCTAAAGGAGATAGCTGAATTGTAGAGACATTAGTTGTAATCTTTCAGGAATCACTGGAGTTAGAGATGGTCACAGAGCACTAGAAAGTAGCTAATGTAACACCCCAGTTTAAGAAGGGAGGGAGGCAGAAAACAAAGAGCTATAAGCCGGTTAGTGTGACTGGAAGCAGGGCAGCTGCAGAAGGACTGCTGCAGAAGGACTTGGACAAGCTAGGCAAAGTGGCAGATGGAATAAAATGTGGAAAAAGTGTGAGGTTATGCATTTTGGTACGAAGAACAGAGGCATAGACTATATTCTAAATAAGAAAGGCAGGAAACCTGGAAATCTGATGCACAAAGAGACTTGGCAGTCCTAGTTCCGGATTGTCTCAAGGTTAACATGCAAGTTCAATTAACAGTTAGGAAGGCATATGCAATGTTATCATTCAGTTCAAGAGGGCTAGAACATAAGTGCAGGGCTGTACAAGGCTCCGGTTTGACTACGTTTGGAGTATTGAGAGCAGTTTTGGGTGCTGTCTCTAAGGATGGATGTACTGGCATTGGAAAGGGTCTAGAGGAGATGTACGAGAATAATCCAGAGGATGAAGGACTTGTCATATGAGGAGTGGTTGAGGACTCCGGGTCTGATCTGATTGAAACTTGAAGAATACTGAGAGGCCTGGATACAGTGGATGTGAAGAAGATGCTTCCATGAGTAGGAGAGACTAGGAACCAAGGAAACAGCATCAGAGGAAGGGATGACCCTTCAGAACTGACAGGAGATAGAATTTCTTCAGCCAGAGGGTGGTTAATCTGTGAAACCCATTGCTGAAGAGGACTGTGGAGGCCAAGTCACTGAATATATTTAAGACCGAGATAGATAGGTTCTTCAACAGTAATGGCATCAAGGATTATGGGGAGAAAACAAGATAATGGGGTTGAGAAACCATCAGCCAGGATCAAATCGTGAAGCAGACTCAATGGGCCGAATGGCCTAATTCTGTTCCTATATCTTATGGTCTAAATCCAACCAAGTTAAATAAGCATACCCTTTCCCGCTTTATAGTGGTCTGTTCTTCCCAATGACTAGCAGAGAGGCTGATTTCACTTTCCGAGAGAGTTGGTGGAGGACGAGCATAGGAATGTAAACTTTTACTTGTGGCCACTATATGCACTGGAGCTCTGAAAAAAAAATAAATAAATAACTGTAACAATGAATGAAATATTAAATGTACAGCATGGTTTACTTTCTTGAACAAAGACAGTGCAGACTCTTAGTTTAACAAGAAACTTCCATTAAAACGATACAGTCCCTCTGGGAAAGAGTGAAGCTAAATTGAACCTACCAAGTCGAACAGAGTCAGAAATAGAAGATTTCATTTAAAAAAATGACATTTTTACATTAAAGAATAGGGATACATTTTTAACTTATTCAACACTAACAGGTAAGGGAAGTATGGGCATATGATCTATTTATTCAAAGTTATTTTCCAATTTAAAAAATAAATTTCAGCTATATGTTAAAATCTGCTTTACTTCACAAAGATATGCACAATTTAGGTCACTGCTCTGGCTAAGCTGCAAGATACTACAAAGAAACATCCCCAAAAACATGATGAGAGATCTTATAGAAACATAAAAGATTATGAAGGGAATAGATAAAGTGGAGGCAGGGAGGTTGTTTCCGCTAGCAGGTGAAACTAGGACTAGAGGGCATCGCCTCAAAATAAAAGGGAAGCAGATGTAGGACTGAGATCAGGAGGAACTTCTTCACCCAAAGGGTTGTGAATCTGTGGAATTCCCTGCCCAGTGAAGCAGTTGAAGCTACCTAGCTGAATGTTTTTAAGGCAAGGCTAGGTAAATTTTTGAACAGTAAAGGAATTAAGGGTTATGGTGAGTGGGCGGGTAAGTGGAGCTGAGTCTCAAAAAGATCAGCCATGATCTTATTAAATGGCGGGGCAGGCTCGAGAGGCCAGATGGCCTACTCCTGCTCCTAGTTCTTATGTACACATCCTCAGATGATGAGAAAAGACAAGTTAAAAAAAAAAAGAAGAGGTGGTGCGTCCTGGAATAGTTCCACCTGATACTTAGGCTCACAATTTAAAACCCCCCCAAAGAGCTTATTTGGAGCTTAACAATTCTCAAAAATCACATGATCATTGGTATATCTGCTCATTCAGAAACTAAGCTCCAAGTTATTGCCCACGCTTTCTCCAAATGATATGACAAAATGGACCTTACATAATCCCTTTCCAAACAGCTCCTCCAGCAAAACATCCCCCAAAGTCAAGGGACTAAAAGTAGCACAGAAACTTCAAATAGTGGCACAATCCTTTAAGGCACTACCTACCCCATATTTGACAGTCTGCAGATCACATATTGGACATATCAGTCATTTCAGAGCTCAGCAAACCGGAATGGAAAGAAAATCATTTTCAATTCTGAGGAACTGCCCAAGTAGAAGCAGCAACACCTGGGTTGCACATGCCTTTGTTGTAACAGGTTGTCCAATTGTTGCACAACTTTCATGTTGCTGTTGGATCAGATTAAAATTACATCTTCCACTTGTTCAAATGGAGTGGCTCAGGTGCACTGGGGACAGTCCCATAGAGAGGCGACACAATCTCACTTAGCAGAGATAGTAAGAACTGCCGACGCTGGAGTCAGAGATAACAGTGTGGAGCTGGAGGAACACAGCAGGCCAGGCAGCATCAGAGGAGCAGGAAAGTTGACATTTAGAGTATGAAAATTTTCTGAAGAAGGGTCCCGAACCGAAACATCAACTTTCCTGCTCCTCTGATGCTGCCTGGCCTGCTGTGCTCTTCCAGCTCCACACGGTGTTATCACAATCTCACTTAGCTCTTCACAAGTCAAAAAAATGTTTAAATTTTTCAGCATCTTCACAAACAATCAGGTAAATGGGGTAATACTCTAAATGTAACTGAAATATTCTAGTCAAAATGCTGTAACACTGATTTGAATCACTATTAATCTATAATTAAAGGCCACACCTTTTTCTTAATCTTAGCTAATGAATACTGATTATTAAAATTTCATATTGATATGCATGAATCGCATTTATCCATATTAATGTATACCTGTCTTTTATTCAGATTATTTGATTAACAACACAGTCAAAAAACTCAGTGCCCACAAATGTACACTCTTCCACAAGGACCCAAGAAACAGGAGCCGTAGGCCATTCATTCCCTCAGGCCTCTCCAGCCATTCTACAAGACCAAGGTTCATTTGTCCCAGGCCTCAAATCCTCTTTCTTGCCAGCTCCTCAGAGACCTCAAGAATCAATACTCAAAAGAATATTTCAATGTTTCCAAAAAAAAACTACCTCCATTTTAAATACTTTCAGTAATTGAGCCTCCACAATTGAGGTAAAAAATTCCAAACGTTCACTACTCTTCTAGGAGGAGAGATTTCTTCACACCTCAGTTTTAAATGTATTCTGTAACTATGTCCCCTTAGTTTGAGAGTGTCCCACTGGCAAAAATATCTTTAACATCTATCCCGTCAAGACCCCTCAAAATTTTGTATGCTTCAAATGAGAACCAATTCATCTAACCACTGATAAATTAAGGCCTAACCCATTTTCCTGTTCTTTGTACAGCAATCTCTACATCCCCATTTTTGCAGCAGGAGTGGTGTGAGCGAGGACCAGGGGGCTGCTGAGAAGGTAAGTTCTTCATTTCGGCAGTGGAGCTGAGTGGGAGCGGTCGAATTGCGTTCTGGGAAGGTGAGTGAACTGATATATTTGGGTAGTGGCTAAACCAGAGACACTACATGTGTTGTGTCTCCCACCCGCCCTCCTCCTCTAACCAAAAAAAAAAGACTCTGTGGTGTGTTGATAAGGTAGGGTTTTACTTTTTCTTTTTTAAAAAAAATGTGCTGGTAAGTAGAGTGATTGGTAAAAATGTTTTCATTTCATTTATCTATTATTTGATATTATAGTAGGACTAAGCTAAGTTTAAGAGTAAAAACGGCAGGAGATCCCAGACCCGTGTTATGCTCCTCTTGCTCAATGTGGGAGCTCAGGGACATGGCTGATGTCCCTCACTCCTACACATGTAGGAAGTGTGTCCAGCTCTAGCTCTTGTTAGACCACATGACAGCTCTGGAGCTGCGGATGGACTCACTTTGGAGCATCCGCGATGCTGAGGAAGTCGTGGATAGCACGTTTAGCAAATTGGTCACACCACAGATTAGGACTGCTGAGGGAGAAAGGGAATGGGTGACCAAAAGGCAGAGAAAAAGCAGGAAGGCAGTGCAGGTGTCCCGTGGTCATCTCCCTCCAAAACAGGTATACCGTTTTGGATACTGTTGGGGGAGATGGTTCACCAGGGGAAGGCAGCAGTAGCCAGGTTCATGGCACCGTGGCTGGCTCTGCTGTACAGAAGGGCGGGAAAAACAGTGGAAGGGCTATAGTCATAGGGGATTCGATTGTAAGGGGAATAGATAGCTGGTTCTGTGGTCGAAAATGAGACTCCCAAATGGTACGTTGCCTCCCAGGTGCACAGGTCAGGGATGTCTCAGATTGACTGCAGGACATTCTGAACGGGGAACGTGAACAGCCAGCTGTCGTGGTGCATATAGGCACCAATGATATAGGTAATAAACGGGATGAGGTCCTACAAGCAGAATTTAGGGAGTTAGGAGCCAAGTTAAAAAGTAGGACCTCAGAGGTAGTAATCTCAGGATTGCTACCAGTGCTACGTGCTGGTCAGAGTAGAAATGAAAGAATAGGCAAGATAAATGAGTGGCTTGAGAGATGGTGTAGGAGAGAGGGGTTCAGATTTTTGGGACATTAGGACAGGTTCTGGGGGAGGTGAGACTGTTACAAATCGGACGGTCTACACCTGGGCAGGACTGGAATCAATGTCCTGGGGGGTGCTTTTGCTAACGCTGTTGGGGAGGGTTTAAACTAATGTGGCAGGGGGATGGGAACCAAATGAGGAGGTTAGTGGACAGTAAGGAGGTAGTAACTAAAGCCTGTAAGGAATTAGATAATGAAGTCAGTGTAACTAAGGGGAAGAGTCGGCAGAGAGGTGATGAACGCAAAGGGACAGGTGGTCTGAGGTGCATTTGTTTTAATGCGAGAAGTGCAGTAGGTAAGGCAGATGAACTTAGGGCTTGGATTAGTACCTGGGAGTATGATGTTATTGCTATTACTGAGACTTGGTTGAGGGAAGGGCAAGATTGGCAACTAAATATCGCAGGATATTGATGCTTCAGGCGGGATAGAGAGGCAGGTAAAAGGGGTGGAGGAGTTGCATTACTGGTCAAAGAGGATATCACAGCTGTGCTGAAGGAGGGCACTATGGAGGACTCAAGCAGTGAGGCAATATGGGCAGAGCTCAGAAATAGGAAGGGTGCGGTAACAATATTGGGGCTGTACTACAGGCCTCCCAACAGCGAGTGTGAAATAGACGTACAAATATGTAGACAGATTATGGAAAGATGTAGGAGCAACAGGGTGGTGGTGATGGGAGATTTTAATTTTCCCAACATCGACTGGGATTCACTTAGTGTTAGGGGTTTAGATGGAGCAGAATTTGTAAGGGGCATTCAGGAGGGTTTTAGAGAGCAGTACGTAAATAGTCCAACTCAGGAAGGGGCCATACTGGACCTCGTGTTGGGGAATGAGCCCAGCCAGGTGGTTGAAGTTTCAGTAGGGGATTACTTTGGGAATAGTAATCACAATTCTGTATGTTTTAGAATACTGATGGACAAAGACAAGAGTGGTCCTAAAGGAAGAGCGCTAAATTGTGGGAAGGCCAACTACAGCAAAACTTGGCAGGAGCTTCGGAATGTGGATTGGGAGCAGCTGTTTGAGGGTAAATCCACATTTGATACGTGGGAGGCTTTTAAAGAGGGGTTGATTAGAGTGCAAGATAGACATGTCCCTGTGAAAATGAGGGATAGAAAGGGCAAGATTAGGGAACCGTGGATGACAGGTGAAATTGAGAGACTAGCAAAAGAGGAAAAAGGAAGCATACATAAGGTCTAGGTGGCTGAAAACAGACGAAGCTTTGGAAGAATAATCGGGAAAGTAGGACCAATCTGAAACAAGGAATTGAGAGCTAAAAGGGGTCATGAAATATCTTTAGCAAACAGGGTTAAGGAAAATCCCAAAGCCTTTTATTCGTACATAAGGAGGAAGAGGGTAACTAGAGAAA